AATATTATATAATGTAAAAGCACTTATATAAATAATAATTGTATTGAACATTTGTACTTTTATTATTTTTATCTAAATGTATCAATCACTACCAAAAAAAAAATTATCAAGTCACAATATAATATATCCTTTTAATCACTATAGCCATGTCATTTATTCAATAGTGACAAGCTAAAAGGAATTAGTGGAGAAAAGTAAAATATCCTAAATGTTACACACAATTGTCAATTCGACTCTAACGACTCAAGTTCGATTTCTCTATTTTCTTCTCTATTTTCTAACTAGGTTTCGTTCGTCAGATGGAGCTTGTCAAAGTGACTTTTGGTTATTGTTGTGTATTTGCGGGCTATTGTATAAAAACTGAATTTACACAAATACATTTTATGGCAAATTACGCCCATACCTGGAGTATATTTGTTCAAATTACTGAAAAAATCCTCGTGTTTGAGTAATTACAACCACCTCTCTCAACTATGTAATGTCTTACACGTTCATTCTTACGGTATAAAATTTACCTACTGGAGAATGAATTTTTTCGTAAAACAATACATGGTTGAAGGAGTTGGTTGTAATTATCTAGACATATGAATTTTTTTATTTATCGTAATTTGGACTTATATGAGTAGACAGCCGTAATTTGGCCCTAAATTTTATTTGGAGGCTTTTAAAAAAAGAAAAACTCTAATCAGCCATAAAAATTATCAACTGTTCACAATTCTTAGACCAATCTCAATTTCCCAAGTACACCATTCTTGCATCATTGCTGACAAATGATTCCTTTTTGTGTATATTTAATATACAATTATTATGGCTTATAAAATACAATTTTAAATTAAATAAAAAAATAAAAAATTAGAGAGAAAAGTTTAAAAGATATCCAAGAATTTTGGATTTTATTCCATGGTCTCGTCAATTTCATTATATATATTAATCTTTAAAGAATCTCTACTATTTAACATGTGTCATCCGTTTAACAAATAATCCAAGTTTTTCTTTTCGCCTTTTTTATTATTATTTTTTAGCATTTCAATATCACATTTATATAAAAAATAATTTCAACGGCTGAGATCAATCGCCAGCAGTGTTGCAAAAGTTGGCCAAAAAAAATGTTTCGACATACTATTGGCTGTTACCAAATCTAAGCAACTTACAACGGACCAATCAAATGCCGCCACAGAAAAGGAAATATATATATAATATATATTTGTATCTATTTTAATATTGTAAATTGCCTACCATATTTTCCTTTTTTTTTTTTTAAATGATGAAATCAGCAGTTAATTATATAGATGCACTAGGTAAACTTTATTGAAGTAAAATTTATCATACATATGTATTGATTATTATTTACTTTACACGTCGTAGACATGTGTGCATAATTGTCGTACATATATGTTGTGATGCTATTTATTGAATTTTTTTTTATATGAACACTTACATGTGTTTTGATAGACATACTAATAAGAGTTGACTTTTAACCAACTTGCCGACAATTTTTTCTTCTTCTGAACCTGAAAATCTTTAGACTTGTCATCCATGAACTCAGAAATATCGTAATGAAAGGAACATAGGAGTTTGTCGGGGGTTAATTAAGGCTAAGCAGCAAGGAATATCCGTCTTTCTGCTAAACATGATGTATGGAACTCATAATACAATAGATACATTTTATGAATGTCAACTAAGTATATATCATAAATAAATTGCTCCTGATTGTTTGATCATGTGATAACCAGAGTCATTCTTTGCTAAATGATCACTTGAATCAGACTAATAGAATTTGTTCGACCATTTTTTTTTCTGTTGTTAAGGCCGAGAACTTGGATTTATTGTTAGTTATTTTTTCATAAATAATACTATATGATGTAATTCACACCTATGTGGAAAGATCAGAGAGAGAGAGAGAGAGAGAGAGACAAGCTTTTATGTAATATAATCAAACAACATTCGTTATCATGTAAAAACTGTGTATCTATATGTATGTATACATTAATTAATTAATTAAAAATACTAAAAAATACAAGATTTCACACACTAGTATGTGAAAGAATTAAGGCAGAAACCAGCTGAGCTTCCCACTAACTAATACAATCCCAAAGCTACAAACTTGGTCCCTCCTAAAACCCCCCACACACATCAATTTATAATTTAATTTAAAAAAAAAAAAAAAAAAAAAGAAAATCGAAATTCGTAAACGGCAGAAACAGAATCCGGGGACGTATTTCAAAACAATCCCACAGGAATATTCTCCTCTGCTAACAAAAAATAATAATTCAGGCTTGAGTTTCCAAATCTTTTGAGCTGATGAATGTGCCATGAAACCCATATGGAACACGTGACGGAAGTTCAACGGTGGCCTCAAGCTCCATGGTCAACGCATTCACAATCTGCAGCTCCGATTTCCACGTCTTCTCATCGTGTACGAAGGCCAGAATATACCCTTCTTCGCAATCGGAATCGGAATCGGAATTTTCTTTGGGAAGAAACAGGGGCTCCCCTCCGTATTTCTCGTCACCGTAAAAGAACTTGCTGACGTCACCGTTCGAGAGGTCGACCTTTGCGAACCCGGACACCTTCGGCCACGGCTCCGCGATCGCCAGGTACGCGAACCGGGTTTTCCTACCGAGTTTGTTCCGGTTCACCATCCCTGCCTCGAGGTTGACTTGGTCAACCTCTGATACGATCGGTCTCCGCGTTGACTTTCCGGTTCTTAAGTTGAGCCGGATTTCTGAGAGCACGCTCTTCAGTCCTTCGTCGCATTCGTTGAAAATCGAGTCGGGCGGAGTCATACACGAACCGATTACAACGATTTCGTCCGATTCGGGTTCTTCCCACGAGTTCCAGAGATGGAAGCAGAAGCAATCGGGGACTTCGATCCATTTAATGCCGTCGGAGTTTTCGGCGTACTTGTCGAGTACGCCGAACCTGGCGGTTTTGTTCTTGTCGTACACCACCGGCGAGCCGCCGCGTATCATCTCCGACATCTTGAATACGACCTGCTGGTCGGGGATTATCACGAAGTTTTCGGTGATTGCGAAATCGTGCATCATTGTCGGCTCCGATACCGGGATTTCGACGTCGGCGGATTTCTCGCCGGTTTTCGAGAATTTGAAGTACTTGAGGTACGGCTTCTGGACGACGTCGTAGCTCAGGGCGAACATTTCTCCGGTGGTGGGGTCCACCTTCGGGTGGGCGATCATGGTGGTGTTCAGTTGGCCGGCGAAGCTGTAGCGTTCGACGGTTTGTAGGTCGCCGGCGGGGGTGACGCGGACGTGGTAGGGGAGGTCGTCCTCCGACATGGCGAGGAGGCGGTTGTTGTGGTAGACGAGGCCGGCGTTGGCCACGCCGGCGCCGTGGCGGTGGTCGACGAGGTCGAAGAGGCCGCGCGCGTAGAAGAGGAGGAGGCGGGCGATGCCGGAGTGGCCGTGGAGCTCGCCGATGGCCTTGGGGAAAATGGGGCGCCCCAGTGCGCGCTCCTGCGCCAGCCGCTGCGTCTCCGTGAAGCGGCAGGCGTAGCTGGCGGCGCCGCCGTCGAATTTCACGGCGTGGATCATCCCGTCGCCGTCGAAGAAGTGGTGGCCCGCCGCCGGCTCGAACAGCGGGTTGGCGCCATTTCTGACGTACACCCCTCGGATGGAGTCCGGGATTTTTCCGGCGACGGTGAGTCCGTGCTCGACGGGATGCTCCGGCACCGGGGAGAAGTTTCCGGCGATCTGGACTCCCGGGTCGGCTGTCTTCGGCAGGGGGCGGCGGAGTTCGTGGGCGGTTAAAGCCGTCTCCACCGCGTCGAAGGCCATCGCCGCCGCTTTTTGGAGTATGTTCCATTGAGATTGCGGCGGAGGTGTTTGATGTGTGGCGGCGGCGGCGGTGGTGGATTTTTGGGGGAAATGAAGTGTGGGTGTTTGGAGAGAGGATTTAATGATAGATTGAGTGGGGTTTAATTTATTAATAATTGGCTGTTTTAAAGAAATTGATTTTGTAGAAAAGCCCACCTTATTACTATTAATTGGCGATGGAGCATATAATTTGGGTTTAACAGATGAAGTGGCCATTGTGTGTTTTTTGTGTGTGTGTTTTAGTGTGTGAGAGAGAGAATGAAAGAAGTTTGTTTGTGTGTTTTGAGTATTGTAGAGAGAGAAAGTATGAAGGAATATTTAGTTGTGAGTGATTGAAGAGAGAGGAAGGGGAGAGGGGTATATATAGAGCGAAATGAGGGGGTGGGAAAGAGGTCCACTTCTAACATGTAGGAGAACACCACGTGTTGGATTTTTGAAACGGAAACACTTTTATTTGGATTCATATTTAATAATCGGAGGTGGTGGGCCCTCCCATACCTTCAAACTTGACACCACCTCATTCCTCATTGTTGTTTCTTGTCACTATTTTTTATTTATTTATCAAATATATTATGTGTTGTGTGTGTAGTTCTATATAATTAACTTTATTGAGGGTATTAAAATAAACTGCAAGAATATTGTTGGACGTAAATTATTACACGCAAGTGTACGTATCGTACAAGTAGTATTGTCGATAAAAAAGTTCGAATATCAATCCACATGGAATGTTTATATGTCAAATTCTGAGAGCTAGATTCTCCCTCAATTATGTTCAAGTTCACCCTACATAATCGAATTTCAATTGATTTATCACTAATTATTAACTAAATTACTATACTCCTAAGTAATTCAACCAAGGACAAAATATTAAACATAAATATCAATTACGTTATATTTTTGTGATAACATATATCAATTTGACTCGAAGATCCTTCTATCAATATGATAACTAGGTATGTTCAAAATGGTCAACTATGTATATATTGATTTCTCTAGTGTTTTGTATAAATGTACAAAAAATTTGGTAGACGACTACGGATTATCAAATTAATGTAATCAATGAATACGATACGATTAACTATGTCTTTCGAAAGAAGAAAAAAAAAACGTAAAATTATTTGACATACCTAATTGGTAATACCTGAATTTTAAACGGGTACATTGTTTCAAATGAAATTTTAATAGTAATTCGAATAACATAAACGTTGATTGAATTTAAAAATAAATCGTTATAATTAAAATAAACTTTTGGTATAAACTTTAAGCCAATACGGAAGAGGTATTTGATATTAGTGTGGAAGGATTGTGATTGGTCAATATTTCTCCTACTCGTCACAAAAAGCAAGATAATAAAAAATCCGCGTTCAACCCTCTAAACAAAAAGAAATTGACATTTAGGTGGGACACGTGGCATTTTAGTTTAAGGTCTTAACCGAAATGCAAGTCACATCAAAATGTCCAACACGGTTGTCCCCCTTACCTTATTTTAGGCCCCCACCCCACCCCCTCCCCACCCCCCTAAACTCCATTTTTTTAAAATGAAAATTAATTTAAAATGGATTTTAGCCATATTATTTTTACAATTTTATTTCTTGCATTTCAGCCTATCAAAGAATGCAATGAAGGGGGGTATGTCATGTACAGGACAGCCTAGCCGTTGAAGCAAGTGTGTTGTATTGACTGACCAAAATTTAAATTTAGCGATCGCTAGATAGAGTTTGTCACACATGATCACATCTCTCGTATAGTTAACAAACTATTATATGAGAGTGTACTACTGTTTGTAGTCATGTAATTATTTACAAAACAAACTTAATTATTGCATGAATTTTGGTTTTTTTTTACTTTAATCACGAGCTTTTTGTAAGGTTCTTTTTTTGAGCTCTATTTTATATAGTTTAAAAACATAGAAAAATATGAAATAAAAAGGTTGAGTTTTAGATATCTTGAAAGAGTACTTTTAACAAGATTATAGAATATTTAAGTTCAGAAATCATAGACTAACAACCAAATCTTGACTGATTATATATCACCCAATCAATGAGATAGATTTATAGTATTTAGTGTTTTAATTCATGTCATGGATGACTCTAACCAACACCAAAAAGAATTGTCTTTTAATATTTGGTAGGACACAAATAAATAATAATAATAAATAATAAATAGAAAAGTAAATGGCTGATTTAGTAGAGATGTTCTTTTTGACACCTGTCTCCAAATATCTATCCCCTTTTAAAAATCAAAGCAATTCATTTTAATAAATTAATATTGAGTCACATCTCATATTATCTAAAAGACCATTTCAACTATTATTCAAATATGTAATTACAATCTTTTAGTCCAATTTTTTCTTAAAATCATTCACTTTTTTTGTTTTAACTGAGGTTAATGATGTTATTAATTACACAGTTATTTACCACTACAAGTGAAAAATAAAATTAGTGATACCATAATTGTGACACTGTCAAAAGGTGTCCCTAAATACATATATTAAGTGAAAACATATTTATGTTGTCACAAATAAATTTTTTCGTATGTCACTTACGTTTTTATTGTGACTAATAGAGCATTAGTGATACTCTATTAGTTCCAGCCACACTGACAACATTTATTTATCTAATTATTTGATTAATTAATGTTGTCACTCAAAAGATTATTTCCTGTAGCGTAAATTCGTTGTGATATTTTAACTCTGATGCGATTGGTATCTAACAAAAGTCAAAAAAGGAAAATTATAAATCTCTTTATTATATTTTCAACCTATTTTTAATCATTTTATTTCACTATAAAGATGAAATGTATTTTTTATGTAGAAGGACAATAGGGGTGAATTGAAGTTATTCTAAAATTCATACACCTCCACTTGCACATTAGCCCATGGAATGGTTATGTAGTTGATCTATGATAAATAGTGGACCACTGAATGGGTATCATATAAACATACCATACCTCATAACCATCATCTTCAACTAGTAAATCAAATGGTGGAATTATGATTTGATATGTGCATAAATAGATCACAATGCAAAGAGATAAGCCAATTCCCAAACACTTATATATATTATATATAATTTTGTAGCATTCTTGAAATTGATATTTAAAAAAAAAAAGATTATTTGCTAATTTTGAAATATGTTTTTGCAATTTTATTATGTCGACTCAAGAGTATATATGGCCCCACGAGTCGTGAACCGTGAGTTTGAATACCGATAAACCTATGACCCTTAATAGGCACTAGCAAATTGCACGAGTTCGGTTGTTCCGTAATTTTAATAGTGGTCTACATTATGAACAAACTAACTAATTTTCTATAAGAACTAACGAAATAATCTTCTGCGTGATATCTAAAGTCAATGTGCCATTTCTTTTACGAATAGAATAATAAAAAAATGCAAATAATAAATAGATGCATGCAATGACCAATGAAATTTCTCATTAATTGATAAAATACGATTTTACTAAATAAATAAAATTATATAACTAAAAGCGAGACTTTACAGTCTACTGTCCAAACAATTTATATTTTTTTTTAAATTTTGTTCCGTCAAACTCAAACATACCTAAATATTGCCACAAGCAGTGTATCGTCAGTTTAAGTATCGATAAACCTAAGACCGTACCCTCAATTGGTTCTGCCTATGTAGCCCGAGTTATATTTTGTAGTTCGAGCTATATTTTATGGCTCAGAATCGAACGTGTATCAGGCATGTCGATACAACGGTCAACCACCAATCTAGGTAAATTTCCCCAATTTTATATAATTTTATATTTATACATATTAAAAAGTTGATAAATTACGATCACAAAATATAAAACAGTTGAATTAAAAGGGAATGAACTTCGTTGAATTTTCGAATATATTATTGTCATTTATGGTCGTTCCGCAAGTGTCGACATACTCGTCGCTTTCTCCTTCCGAATCTACTTGGCTTATAGATCACATTTTACCCAAGATGAGAATATTCATTAATTATAGAAAATTAATTACCTTATGCTTGTAATTGATCATTTCATTTGCAACTTGTTCCTTAAAGATCTCCCATGCCGTGTCCCATGTTACACAAGCATGTTACCACATAATATTATGTCCAAATTCTATATAGTCAAACATAATTCTTGCAACTTGACATTAAATCTATTTATGCTTTTGTTATTTTTCAACGAATCTATGTTTTGGGGTTGCAAAATATTCTTTGTTTTTTTTTTTGTAGGAATTTATTTTAATCGAATCGCCGACAAACGGTTTAATAAGAATTTTTTTTTCTTAAGTAATTAATGATTCTTGTTTACTCTAATCAGTCTACTCTATTAAGCTTGTAATACATTTGAAATGCACATACATTTTTAACTAAATCAATATGAGATTTGGGCGGCTACACAAAATTTATGGGGTGTAAAGGAAAAAATAAAATGTAAGTAGTTATTATTTTATATAGTTGAATTTGTGACATTATTTGAATGTAGCAATTAAATTTAGGTCTAACAAATCAAGATGGGATTTGGGCGGCTAATTGTATTAGCAAATGGTATTAATCATGTCATGGATTAAGTCATACATTAGCATTAATCAAGGCCTTTCTTCACATTTTTCCATGATAGCTAGCATGTGAAAATTGAAAACAAAATTACATAGAAATTTAAAATAAATAAATTTCATCATAAATTAAAATATAATAATAATCAATTAAAGGAATGACACAACCGTGTTCATTAATTCGGTAATACCGTACGGTACTTCAAAAATTTGTATCGTTTACCGAACCGAATTATTATGTTCGGTACAATTTTTTACCGAACTAATTTGATTTTTTCGGTTCGACACCAGTAAACCAGAAATATATTTTAATATTTTAAAAAATGTACAAAGAAATATTTAAACTATTTAATTCTTGAATTTAACAATCAAATTTCAATAATCGGCCACAAAAAAAAAAGGATTATCAATAGAGGCTAATTTGTAAATAATGGAAAAAAATATCAATCTAAAAGTATTTTACAATTTGTTATAACCTTAAAGAATTTAAAATAAAAGGAAAAAAAAATATTTATTAAATATTTAGGTATTCGGTATGTAAGGGCATCAATACTATATACCGTACCGAATACCAATATACCAATTTTTTTTACTGAACACTGAATTAGATTTTCGGTTCGGTATTTGGTACGTACCAAATTTCCGGTTCGGTTTGGTTTTGGTCGGTTTATTTACCGGCCGAGTTACATCCCTATAACACATTTAGAATTACTACAAATGTGTCATAAGATTATCTCTATATAGCTACACCACTATTCTATATGATGACATAAAATAGAATCGGTGATAACAAAGGAATTATTTTCTTTAAGCAGTGCTAATATTCATGTAGTTCCTTTTTAAAATATTGAAATTTTACAGTTATATATACAATGTTTGAATTCGTTTTGAGA